ATATACCTACCTGCTATGTAAATATTTGCCTATGTCAAACGTTGGAATTCTGTAATTTTTCCATTTCTTAACTTTCAGTCAACATAAATTAAACTCCCAATATAAGTATTTTTTATTCCAAATCAAAAAAATGAGAAGATAGTAAAATCAATTTATTGTGATATAAAAACATTATTATTATCGTTCTAGATAAAAGACCGCACGCATATGATACGTCATGAAATTACAAAGGACGCTCCGACCAAAGGTTTTTATGCTATTTCAAGTGACTTCAGATAAACCATACATAAATGTTCTTATATTTATACTAACATTGTTCGTAACTATTTGAATCGCTTAAAATTTTCGAGACTTTGTGTTAGATTTTCCTTTACATTGCATAGTGTTACCGACACCTAGGCCTATGGGCGCAGCAGGAATTTTTCTCAGGGCCCATCAATGGCAAGGGATCACTTTTTGTTCCCTAAGCTTTCTAAACAACAGAAGGTAGCAAATTTTTCCAGGAGGAGCAGCTCCCAAAAATCCTCAAAATTGTACACAGAAGCATGCTAAATTAATTAATGCAAGTTTTGGATTAAATAGAAAACACAGTTTTAAGTCTTTAGATTATTTTACTGGAAACATGGCGGCAAATTCAAATCCTGCGTTAATCATGGGACACCCTTTGTGTAAGGTCGCATATGATGAAGTAATAATTATATATATATATATATATATATATATATATATATATAACTTGAGACGTGGTCATTGTCGTCTAAACCAGTTAGGTGAAAAATTAAAGCTTCCGCCTTTTGTTGGGTACTTCGAGAAAATTTAAGCAAAGAGGACTCTTTATACTTTTTTTAATTCTCTCTAGCTTTCAATGGACTTTGCCATCATCATCAGGAGCTGCAATTACAATGATAACAGTAGCAACAAAAGTGTAAAATGAATTTAAATTGAATCAACTTACAGTAGTATGTGAGGATGTTGCTAATTGTTGTTTTCGTAAAGGATGAGGGAAACGTCCAGTAACATGGTGAGAGCTGGATACATGGTACAATGGTTAAAATTATATAAAATATGACAATCATCAAGTGGCTTCACGACGTAATGCTCTAATGTTTTCTAAATAATTTTTAATCTGTCTTTAACTTGTCTTGTCATATTTTATATAATTTTAACCATTGTACCATGTATCCAGCTCTCACCATGTTACTGGACGTTTCCCTCATCCTATACGAAAACAACAATTAGCAACATCCTCACATACTACTGTAAGTTGATTCAATTTAAATTCATTTTACACTTTTGTTGCTACTGTTATCATTGTAATTGCAAAGTCCATTGAAAGCTAGAGAGAATTAAAAAAGTATAAAGAGTCCTCTTTGTTTGCTTAAATTTTGTCGAAGTACCCAACAAAAGGCGGAAGCTTTAATTTTTCACCTATATATATATATATATATATATATATATATATATATATATATCTATCTATATATATATATGTCGTTTATATATAAACGATAAAAGTCAGGCTATTTGGAGGCATCAAAGGCGTCTGCTTTGTTGGTATTATGCTAAGTAGATGAAGAGATGCAAGCCTGAGAGGCTCTGGGGGAGAACTGAGGTACATTCGGTAAAGAGTCCCAACACTGAAAATGTAGCATATTTATCTTATTTATTTTTGGTATTTCCAACAACTTGAAATATTTGCGTATTTTCTAATTCAAAAAAGCTTAACAGCTATTTTGGACGATATATCTATGTATTTCGTTAATGCCCACAAACACCCATAGTGAGCCTATAGTAACGGGGATATTTAGGATTTTTTATACGTTTGCAAAATTGTGCCTATATTTACTAAAGAAAGCATATTATCAATTAAATAGAGCATGCGATATATGTGTAGACATGTTTTATATAACAAGCACAGAAATCAGGCAATGCAGTATGTAGAAGCAGCTATTACAAGTGAAATGCGATATTTATGATATGCTCGGTGTTTTCTGAAATCGAAAGTTGGTGATTTTGGAAATGCCGTTTTACTTCAAACATACAGATTTTGATGTTTGAAAAACCGATAAAATAACGTGCTAGTATGTTAAAATATGGACGATGTTGAATTATTATTTATGGAAAATATGTGAATGAGATGTCTAAGCTTAGTGTTACTCAAAACGGAAGGTACTCAATCCAATCCCAACGATTAGAATATTGCTCGTGACTCACGTCTCTGTTTTTATAATCTAAGGCGAATCAAAGATGGGTGCCAAACTTCCACGGCATTTCGAACACAAGTGTTGAATTTCATTGTAAATAGTCAGAAAAAGTTCCTTGTTATGACCTCCGAGATTGATGGGACTCTAAGATAATTTATCTCGAAGCTGTTAAAGTTCACGAAACGTGATTACTGAGTTTGCTAATCAGCAGATTTTATATGCGTTATTGAGTATTTTACGGTGATGAATCGATATCACTGGACATTTTCATTTCTTAGGGAATATTTGTGGTGTAAAGTATTCGGCAAGCGATTTTATTGTTTCTTGATACTTTCCATAGCCAAATTTATGAGATGGTACATAAAATAAGGTGCTTAAATTGGCATGAACTTGACTATAAAATAATTAGTAACAACTATTTATGGATCTTAAGAACGCCAGGTAAAAAAGTGCTTCTGAATATTTTATTACAATGAAACTAACATCATATTTGGATTCAGAGTACAAAAAAATAGATGACACACCACCCTTCTTGAATATTCGCCCAAAATTGGCATCCATCTTTTTCACTAAACTTGTTTTATTGACAAGATGATTTTGATATCTTTTCTAATACATTTTTGGCAAAAACTCCAGATCGGAATATCCCACCCAAGTACAAATTACTCTTAGTCTGTAAAATTGTCGTTATGCAATGTGATTTCACAAAATTTCTAAAACAAAGATACAACAGTGTGCAACGGTAAAGGTATAACATTAACCATACCTTATTATTAAATAAATTAGAAAAATATGGAGTACCCGGCTGTTCTTATAACTGGATTAGAACTTACTTACTGGGCAGGACTCGAGCAGTTAAGGCTAATTAAAATCACAACTATGTTAAATCCTATGGCAGCTCCAGCAGCATGGTAATATACAACTGTTAAAACATCCAAAGAATAATTATTAGTACCATGCCCTACAAAAATTCGAAATATCCTTGTAGAGATCTATTCAAAAAATTGTATATTTATGTGTTTAATCTATGTCAGGGATAATTATAATCAGTATGGTACTAGAAATAGTATCATTAGCACATCGGGCAATAATCTCCGCGCGAATTTCAATATGGTCATAACCATTCATAAGCTCGCTTCGGTGTCCAAGGGTGCTACGATCATGCCGCTAAGATTGTTCAACCCCTTGCCCTCATCCTTAAGAACCATCCAGTGCACCTCAGCGTTCAAACGCAAGGTATGCGAATTTCTGCTTCAGCATCAATTTTACACAGTTGATGAATATCTGTCAAGGTCATTATGATTTTAATGTGTTGTGTCTTGGTTAATGTCTATATAATATATACTAAGTGACATATAAATCCGAACACCCAGTTTAAATGGTTTTATTTTAATAAAAGTTCCTATGTAATTATCTTACTGTAAATAACAAGTGAAAAAATGTTCAGCCTTATCAGTTGGACATTCCGGTTTTTATACTGCTTTTTTTTTAATTCACTAACGCTCTAAAAATGAATATTTCAGCCGCAGTAAAGAATCAACCTTGGCGGATTTTGGTTCTTGACATCCTTTACGATCGGTTACGATGCCTAGAGTACGGAGACCTGTACGATTTCGTCAACTTAGTGAGATTGATAGGGGCCGTATAGTGGGACTTCGGGAAGCTGGACTTTCTTTTCGGGCAATTGCAGTTAGACTGCAAAGAAGTGTAGACACTGTGGTTAGGTGTTGTCAGACATGGCTTCGAGAAGGCCGTACGCAAAGAGCAAGGGGCACTGGACGCCGCCGTAGAACAACAGATCGTGAAGATCGCCGCCTAAGATTATTGGCCTTAAGGGACCGTTTCTCCACTACCAGGTCCATTGCAAATGAATGGTTTGCAGAACACGGAAGACCTATTGGCATGCGAAGTGTTTACCGATGAATGAGAAGTTTTGGCTTGTTTTCATACCGGCCACACTGGGTCCTCCCTTTAACTCGAGAACACCGACGTAATCGCCTTGAGTGGTGCAGACAACGGTCACTCTGGGATCAGGAATGGAACAGTATTGTCTTTAGTGACGAGTCTCGATTTTGTTTAGGCATGCACGATGGTCGTGCCAGGGTTAGAAGGCGACGTGGTGAAAGGAGGAATCCACAGTTTTTTGTTGAAAGACATGTTCATCACACTGTTGGAGTTATGGTTTGGGGTGCTATAGCTTATGGTTCCAGGTCACCTTTAATCTTCATCAGAGGTAACACGAACGCGCAGCGTTATATCCACGAAGTTCTAGAACCCCATCTTTTACCCTATCTTGACACCCTGGCAGATCCAACTTTCCAACAAGATAATGCCCGACCACATGTTGCAAGAGTCACAATAGACTTCTTTCAACATAATGATGTCACATTGTTACCATGGCCACCAAGATCTCCCGACTTATCCCCAATTGAGCACGTGTGAGATATGATGGGTAGGAGATTGCTCAATTTGCAACGTCCTCCTCAGACTCTAGAAGCACTTCGAGAGGAGTTGGTGGTTGCCTGGAATGAAATACCACAGGAGGACATTGACCACCTGATCAGAAGCATGCCTAGGCGCGTTGGAGAATGCGTAGCACATCAGGGTGCATCCACACATTATTAAAGGTCAAAGAGCTTTAAAGCAGTGCAATCATTTTGAAATTTTTATCATTTACTTATTATGCTTCATTAAGTACTTATACAAAATTTTATTAAAATAAAACCATTTAAACTAGGTGTTCGGATTTATATGTCACTTAGTATATCTTTTTAATGTATATGTTGTTCGTTGTAGATGACATACTCTACTCTTTGATTCTGTGATTGAAAAAAAGCTTGTAGGCACTGTAATATGACATCTAACATATGTGTTCGGTACTATACTATTCGTCATTATTCGTCAGAGCGGTCCGGTGGACCGTTGCTCTTAGTTAAAAGTCTCGTCGGTCTGTTAGTCTGCCTACCCATATACCGAACACGTTTAAGGGGAAAAGAGAAAGAAGGAAAGAAAGGAAGGAAGAAATAGCGCAAAGAAAAGAAGTAAATTATTTGAAATAGGTTAAGTATTATTGTTTTGACTACTCGAAAATCCAAAAAATAATTTTGATCGGTTTTGTATACTGAAATAATTTTGGGTGGTCTGAATTTACAATTTAATTTTGCTCGCAGTGCGAGGCGCGGCCTGGAATGTTTGCGAACTTGCTCGACTGTGTAGCCTACTGAATCACGCAACAGAGGGATGCTGTGCGATTCCGCTTGATTACATATGTTCGGTGTTAGTGATATCGTGGTGATGACGCAGATGATGACAGACAACAGAAGTGTCATCATAAATGTAAATTTTCGGTCAAAACAATCTTTTCTTTAAATTATTTGTTATACTTTTATCATATTATTATCATCGACATGGAACCCTATGAAATCAAAACATCTTCCCTGTACAACATGTCGTTTCATACATTACAGTCGTTCATTTTTCTTGCAGATGACTGTAACAATAACGACCAAGCACCATGAAGTAGCGACAGATGATAATGATAACGAAACCTGCTGTACAACAGAGGTAAGCCCGATCGTTCACCTTGCCAACTTTCTACTACATCACTTTCAGTTTCGTTTCTTACGAGAAAGTGATGGCAAGCACCATCGAAAAGTATAAAATATACACATTCGGCGTCAAGTTTTTTTAGCACTGATTAATACTTGTTACTCGATCTTCAGTTTGCCGGATTTTGCAACTGTGATGTAATATTCGCAGTCTTTTGTCCTGATTTGCCATCTGCTTGCCTCGTTGCTCAGCACAGTGAGTACAGTCATTGATTGAGGTATTATTCCCGAAGATAACCAACCATATTAAAGGGATCTGAAAGGTACTAGCGTCATCTTTGAGACAGCAGCAGAACCAGATGCTAACTCCCTTTAAAGTAGATGAAATTTTGTTACTTAAGCTGTCTTACTATAGTGTTACTGACCCTGTAGACAATTTCGAAAATGTCGGAAACAACTGTAATAAAGTGTGGTGTTCCTCAAGGTCCCATATTGGGCCCTTTACTTTTCTCTCTGTATATATCAGATTTCCATCAATATGTTCGTAATTGTACAATCCATCACTATGCCGATGATACTTAAATTTATTTTAGTTTTCAACATAAAGATTTAAAAATGGCAGAAGCATTGATCAACGAAGATTTAACAACGCTAGTAGACATCTCGTGCTGAAAATTAATCCATCTAAATCTTCAGTTATGCTTTTCGGCTCAAATCGCAAAAAAACATCGATCTAAACGGAAATTCACATTAAAATCTGTGATAACCGGCTTCCAATAACACTGGACAACAAATTTTAGTTTTTTAATTGTATCTTGTGGGAAAAGTGCACTTCTTTGTTAATTTTGGGGCGCTGAATCCAAAAATGACAATGAAATAAAAAAAATTAGTTGCGGTTTAGAAAAAAAAAATTCTTTTTAAGGATATATTAAAAAAGTAACAAGACTCATATACTCATAAGAATCACTATATGCGCTGTCTTTTTGCTGTTCTTTTATGGATCGTTTCTGGAGCATCTCTACCAAGAGTCTAACAGTAGTCTGCAAGCATGGAAGGATTCCACTTTCCCTGGTACCTTTTTTCCATTGTTGAAATATCCTGATGAAAACGTTCGCCGTGCTCATCACTTACGGCTCGGCAATTGTCAGGAAAAAAGTCCAGGTGTGAGTGTAGGAAATGTATCTTAAGAGACATATTACAGCCCATCTTTTGATACGATGACAGCATATTTTTGACAAGGGTTTTATAGTTGTCAGCTTTTCTATTTCCCAAGAAATTAGTGACCACCAGACGGAAATCATTCCAAGCAGTTTTTTCAATACCTGTTAAAGTGTTTTCAAACTGTGTATCTTTCAAAATATTTCGAATCTGTGGCCCAACAAAAATACCTTCTTTAACCTTTGCCTCACTTAGTCTTGGAAATTTCTGGCGCAGGTATGGAAAAGCTGACCCATCTCTATCTAATGCCTTGACAAAGTTTTTCATTAGGCCCAACTTGATATGCAGTGGTGGTAATAAATTTTTTTTCGAATCTACCAATGGCATATGCGGTACATTTTTTTGACCTGGCTCTAGGAATTGACGAACAGGCCAGTTTTGTCTGGTCTTTGCCCGACTGTCCCATTCGCACAAAAAACAGCAAAACTTTGTGTAGCCTAGGTGCAGCCCAAGTAAAAGTGCAACAACTTTCAAATCGCCAGAAATGTGCCATTGGTGCTCATCGTATTTTATGCATGTCAATATACTTCGTATTGTCATATGATTCTTGTGAACTGCATACCCTACAGGAAGAGATGGTAAAATATTTCCAATATGCAATAAGACTGCCTTTAAACTCAATGTTGAACTGTCTATAAACAATCTCCATTCTTCTGGGTTATAGTTTATATTTAAAGCCGCCAGTAAGCCGTTAATGTTACTGCAGAAAACCAAGTTATTTTCCATATTGAAAAATGGTTCTAAGTCTTTGTGGCGTTTACGAAAAACCCATACCGAAACATCGTCTTCTAACAAGTTCCACTGCTGCAGTCTTGATCCAAGTAACTCTGCCTTACATTTTGAAAGTTCTAAATCTCTCACAAGATCATTTAATTCTGACTGTGTTATTTTGTGCGGTTGGTGGCATGACGTGCTCTCTTGACGTTGATGGCATATCTTCTTCCTGACGAATCACTCGATCGCCATGATCTGATTCGTTTTCTGATTCGCAAGTGTAGGATTCTGGGGGTTTTGGAATAGGATTTTCGTCACTGTGAGGCACAGGTCTCATCGCAGATGGTATGTTTGGGTAGTTAATAACCGATTTTTTTTCTTGGACATACCTGTGGCTTGTCCAACACAAGGTACCATGCAAAAGTAACAATCATTAATATGATTTGTAGGCTCTCTCCAAACCATTGGGACAGCAAAGCGCATAGACCGTTTTTTGCCATTTAACCAGCTCCTCAGACTTGAAGCACATGTATTACAGCAGATGTGGGGTGCCCACTGTTTGTCTTGATCACCTAGTTTACAACCGAAATAAAGCTGATATGCCTTTGTTATTAGTGGAGTAATAGACCGTCTCTGAGACGCAAAAGTCCACACACGTAACAAAACTGATCTGGATTGTTTACACACTTCCGAGACATCTTTCATGAACGCTGTCAGCCAACTGAGGAAAAAATGGCTAATATAAAATAATATAATGTACACGTATGTATAACGTAACACAATCATGCCGATTACATCATCTTTCCTTGCCGAATATAAAAATGTAGCACGTGCATTCTTGTGAATTACAGTATATTAACACTGTCACAGCAGGAACACATATAATTACCGTATCTCTAAAACTTGAAAAAATAAGTTTCATTCCGGTTTTAGCACATCAAAAATAGTAATATTTTATTGATTTTATTTAGGATATTTTTTGGCTGTTGATCAGTGTAATGAGTGAGTGTAAGAACTGAAATACAAAAAGCATGTGAATTCATCTGCATTTTGTACCAGTTTTAAGCGCATAGGCAACTAATGTCTACTTCATTAAATCTGGAACTGTAAGTAACATTAGCTATGTCAAAAATAAATTATTGTGATACTATATATACGGCCCAGCTGTATCTATAGTGAACAAAGCTAATTGCAGAGTATTTAGAATTCGTGCATCAGGTTTTCTTGCGGAATACGAAAGTTTGATCATATTTCTCATAAGTTTAAGGAGCTTGGTATTCTGGAGATTAAATGCATGCAAAAACTCTATTTATTGACACTTACACATAAGGTTTTAGCTACCAAAAGTAAACCACGACATTTGCATGAGAAGTTACCACGACTTAGCGACATAAATCAACTAAATACAAGGAATAGAAGAGAGAATTAGATAATAATCTGCCTATTACGTTCCTAAATTACACACCATTTAATTTTAAAAAGAGCCCTAAACTAACTAAAGTCTGATGATGAATACAAATTTCTGGAAATATGGACATTTCTTGTGACTGTGGAATTGGCTCTCTATGTATCACAAATTGGCAATAAACAGTTATAGAAAATACACAAGAAGACTGATGAAGAAACAAATATAATGAGTTCTAATTATTTTCAATTATATAACTATAGTGATGTATCGTTATGAACAAAAGAGCCTGCATTTCAACATCGAAGTGGTCAGTAATTTGTAACTAGAGGGAATAATGAGAAATAAAGTCATGCTACCGTATACATGACTTAATACTAGAAAGTTATTGAGCTGTCGTAGCTTTCAGATACATTTTGGGGCCTGATAATCAAATAAGCACCTAGGTTCTCCTACAACCGATTGCCGATTATTGAAGAAACTTGAACGAATAAGTCTATCTACTTTTTCAGGATGGTCGATTCATGTTTTCGACGTAAAACGGGAAATCGACTTTCCCAGGTGTTCGCTTTGGTCCGGTTCCCCCTATGTACCTTAAAAATATTCAAGCAAGCTTAATTAAAACATGTGGCATGTTCATAAGTCAATCAATATTTAAGTGTAATTTTCAATATTATGCAATAAGAAACTAAGATACAACATATACCATTATTATACGAGGGTGGTCCCAGAAGTACCCGGTCTGACGTAGAGATGGTGATAGTTGTTTGAAAAATATCATTGTATTAGCAAGTATGCAACCTATAAAGCATATGTGTCAAGTTTGAAGTTGCCACGGTGTTTAGTCTTTGTTTGGAAGCCATCAATACTGAACGTTTTCAGTGAATTTGTGAGAATGGATAAAATTGGTCATCGTTATGTGGTACAATACTTTTATTTCAAAGGCCTCAGCCCAACCAATATAAAAGCTGAACTGGATTCTACTCTGGGTGTGTCTGTTCCTTCGCTTACAACAGTAAAGTATTGGGTAGCAGAGTTTCAACGAGACCGTATGAGCTGCCAAGACGAACCAAATGAGGTGACGACTCCAGAAATGGTGAAGAAAATTCACAAAGCGGTACTGAATGATTGACGACTGAAAGTGTGCGAGCTAGCAGACATAGTAGGCATTTCAAAAAGTGCGGTTCATCGCATATTATCTGAAAATTTGGATATGAGAAAGCTGTGTGCAAGATGGGTGCCACCAATCGAGCAAAAACAGTGTCGTGAAGATGTTTCAATTGAGCGTTTAGCGAAGTTTCACAGCAACAAAGCAGAATTTTTGCGTCGTTTCATAACCGTGGATGAAACATGGGTCCATCACTTCACACAAGAGACAAAAGAACAATCAAAACAATGGACTTAAAAGGGACAACCGGCTCCAAAGAAGGCGAAGACCGTTTCATCTGCAGGCAAGGTTATGGCGTCGGTTTTTTGGGATGCGCGTGGGATAATTTTCATTGACTATCTTGAAAAAGGTAAAACTAACAACGGCGAGTATTATGCGAACTTATTGCAACGTTTGAGAGATGAAATCAAGCAAAGATGGCCGAATTTGGTTAAGGAGAAAGTGTTGTTTCATCAAGACAATGCACCAGCTCACAAATTCGTTATTGCAATGGCCAAAATTAACGAATTTA